GTGTGTCTGCGCGAGGAGGAGCGCCGGCTGCAGCTGGCCCTGGCAGAGCTGGAGATGCGCACTGAGGAGCAGCAGCAGCTGGTCCAGTGGCTGGAGGCAGCGCTGGAGAGGCAGCGGCTGGACACTGACCGCAGGCTGACCCAGCAGCAGAAGGAGCACGAGAGGAACATCCAGCTGCTGCTGCAGCAGTGCAGAGGTGGGGGAGGCAGTCAGTGCTTTAGTTTTAGTCAAGTCCCTCCTTTAAATGGCAAACCTCGCCGCTAAACATGCACCAAGTGGATTTCTTTTACTTTCTGCAGTCCTTCTGGCTGTCAACCAGACGAGATTACTGCTCATTCATTTCTGATTTTACTGGAGTTTCAGACTAATCATTCAGACTAATTTGTCATCCAATTTCTTGTTTTATTTCTTATTTTCCCTCCTGAAATTACCATGTGGGTCAGTCAAAATTTTCACAATCTGTGGATAAAGAAATTTTAAATTCAGTTTGCACGTGGTATTTTTCTTTTCTGAAGAACCCCAGTGGATGTCAAAATGAGCAGTGAAGCATGAACCAGAGGGCACCAGTGAAAAATATGTGGAAGTAAATTTAAAACCAAGAACAGGAGGCACTTCTTTAAACAAAGAGTTGTGGGGGTGTGGAGGAAGCCGATAGCCTGGCTTCTTTCAGGAAACAGCTGGATGGGATCCTTGGATCAGTTAACTACCAAACAGGCTAGATGGGATGAGTAGCCTCTCTGTCCTTTTGTAGTCTTACTTATTATTTTAAGATGGATGAGTGGCCCAGGGAAGCACAGAGAGAGAAAGGAAGCCCTGACAGGTCTGGCCCTCGGGATCAGTAAGCGGTCTCTTGTCACATGCTCCAGCCCCTCGTGTCCCCCAGAAACACACTGCTGCTCTAGTCATGCATGCCAAGGAGGAGGTGAGCCCCACTGTGGCTGCTGCCACTTGTCTGGGAGAGATGTGGGTGTAGCAGTTGAGGAGAGAGACACACAGACGTGCTTATTCACACATGCACCCACATTCCGGAGGAAGGTGCAGCTGCTCACAGAGCAGTGCCAGGGCGGAAAAGCAAACAGCCTCCTTCTTACAGAAGACGGATGGATACTGTCCATGTATGTTCTGTTCACAATGTAGTATCTGAGCCGAATGCTTCGTACCCATAAAGGCCTTTGTTTGTACATTAAATGGTTCATGATTTAGGTCTGTGTAGCATTAGTAGTCCTTCGTAGCAGTTTTCTTTTTTATAATTGTTCACAAGCCTTTCCAGTTAAATCTCTGCCTCGTGTGCTGCTGATCGTAGTGGCCGGGCTGCAGAGGTTAACCTGCTGCTCCTGCATGTCTTGACAGAGCAAATGGATGAAGGGCTGGCGGGGAGGCAGCGCCAGTACGAGGGCTGGATTCACAACCTTGGCAAGGAGCTCAGCCACTGCAAGCTGGCCAACCAGGAGCTGAGCAATAAACTGAGGGAGCTGTGGGGGCAAACCGGTCAGCCTGCAGACCAGGCCAAAGGTAACAAACCATTGAGTGGGAGGTGTTTTGTCCAGGGTAGCTGGAAGCCATTCTTAACTGCACTGATCCCTATCCTGTTTCTGTAGCCTCTTTCCGTTTAAGTTTTTTCTGTTCTGCCTTTTTTCTGCTCTGTTGTCCATGTTTTCTAAGCACATCATATCAGCCTTGCTTTGCGCTCTTTCCAGCTTTCCACGGGGCAGTCCAGAGAGGAAGTGACAGGGATCCAGATAACTAGAGCTTTTTACAAGACAGCTGTTTCAGTAATGTGTCTGTAATTTTGCTTTTCATTGTTCACATCCTGAAATGTTTTTAAGATAGTACAAATCTACCAAATTGTCTTTTGAGATATCAGCTCTGCATGTAACTCAGAGATGTCTTCCTGAGACCACTCGCCGTGGCTGGGGAGCAGCAGGGGCTATGGTCTGTGTTAAAGCTGAGCACCGGTCTAGTCCACAGGTGTTCTTGTGTTAAAGGACTTTCCTCCTCACATCATCTCGCTTCCATTACCTCACCAGTTTGCTTGAACAACACAAAGGCACGTCTGTCAGGGCCCAAACTGTGTTCGTTAATGAATATACAGTGCAATTGGACAGTGACACAATTTTTGTTGCTTTGGCTCTGTACTCCAGCACATTGGATTTAAAATTAAACAATTACTATGAAGGTAAAGTGCAGAATTTCAGCTTTAATTCAAGGGCATTTACGGCTATATTGGGTGAACCATATAGGAATCACAGCGCTTTTTATACATAGTCCTCCTATTTTAGGGGACCAAAAGTAATTGGACACATTAACATAATCTTAAATAAAATTGTCATGTTTAGTACTTGGTTGCAGATTCTTTGCAATCAGTGACTGCTTGAAGTCTGCGACCCACAGACATCACCAGACGCTGGGTTTCTTCCCTGGTGATGCTCTGCCATGACTGCACTGTAACACTCCACTACTCTCTCTGACACCACCATATCTGATATTCTCTGGCCATCTAAGTTCTTAATTTCTCGAAGTTGTCAAATGTCTTAAGATGTCAGCCTCTAAGCATGCAGATAATTTCACAGCAGTCATTCTGCTGATATGCAGTTTATTTATTCCTGGCAGTTCTCTGCAGCTCCTGCAGTTTGACAACTGCTACACTGATGGATCAGGCAGAGGTGTGACCGTCTTGAGCCCGTGTAGTGATCCTCTGAGTCTCCTGGTTTCTCTTGACTAGTTTCCTGATTGTTTAAGCAGAACATCTTATTCTCTGGGCTCTGTAGACAAGTTGCCTTCAATCAGCAACGGCAACCAGGCAGTCTTCATTACTTAGACTGATCATTGTCTTATATATAATTCTGGACTAATTAAGGATTGCCTTTTTAAATATTTCTACAAATTCATTTTAACTCAACTCGAATACCACCAAACACTGAGCTCTTAGTATTTTAATGAAATTTTGGTCACAGCAGTAAGTCATATATCTGCTTGCTGTGCAACAAACCCATCTCCTTACTTACTCCTAACCTAAAGCATAAAAAAAACTTTACGCAGGTTTGTGGCCAAAGAGCTAGAACCTGGAGCTTTGCGTTTTCGTTTTGAATTAGCCTGTATAACGGCAAAGAGTGAGAGCTGACATGGCATGAAACTGAAGAGGAGACTGAGGAAGCGCACAGCTCTCTCTAGAAGTGACGCGTTAAAAAGAGCAGCTGTCAGGGCGTGAGCTTGGGCAGGGGCTCGTGTCGAGCGCCAGACTGTGAGGAGGTGTGTTCTCGGCTTGCGGTCCTGCAGGGACGGCCGGGGGCAGAGCGGAGGACAGCGGGGAGCCGCCGGACAGAGGGCCCAGGCCCAGGGAGGAGGTCCGGGAGCTGGTGCGTGCGCCCCTGCCCCCCACGTGGCGCCGCTCGTCCCTTCCCAGCGAAGACCAGCCGGGCCTGGAGGAGCTGCGCCAGCGCCTGCCCGGCCTGGCCCCAGGGCCCTGGGGGGGCCCCCTGCCCCCGGCCCCCTCGGCCCTGGCCAGACCCCGGAGGGAGCTCCGCAGGTCCAGCCTGAGCACCGGGCCGCTGCTGACCAGCGCCAGCATCATTGACGTGCGGAGAAACCCGCTCTGAAGGCGGGATCAGCACCTGCTGCTTCCTGTCTGCACCGGGACACAGGAAGTCCTGATCGCTGCTGTCGTCTCGCGCGGTCCCACGCTGCCATTCCCGTGTGCGCACACGCTTTCACCTGTAAACGCCTTTTGTCCCTGTTTTTCTGTTGTCATTTTATTTCCATGCACTTTTCCGCTGTATTTTGGAATGTCACTACTGGGACAGAGACACGTGATTGTTAAGACGCAGGCGTTCTGGGGACGTTTTCCATTTCACATCGATCCGCAGACGCCATGAGAGAGCTCTGCAGTGGTGCGTGTGGACTGGTGTGAGATTTAGCACATTTCATTTGAAAAAACATGATTTTAGAAGCAATTGCTATTGCATAGAGTCCACCTCATCTGCAGCAGACTGCATCTGGTTTATTTTACATGTGGGCTTTTCTGTTATTTCTGTTCCATTTTTTGTTTTGCATGCCTTTTTTATAGTTACATGGATCATGTAAATATACTGTAGCATAATGTTTACATTTTGTACATTTTTTTTCAATGTTTGTGTTCTTTATTAAACATTTTTAGAATATGGTGTAGTTTGATTATTGTTTTTTTTACAGTTTAGAAAGAATAGATTTAGGTGAGACTTGAACACAAGGTGTAGGTAAAATATATCTGTGGATGGATTCTACTTCAAACTGAGTAATGCTACAGTACTGTACATACAAAGATCTGTACCAGATAATATGCAAGATGAATATTTTATCTAGCCACTTGTAGGACATTAGTAATGTTTGGTGGATATTGCAGTATTCTTGATATTAATAACAACTCAGCTAAAAAATTAAAGCACCTGAGCAAGGAGTTTTATTCAGTTCTAATAAATTTTCTATTGTACAAGAGCACTTGTGTCGGATAAGTGTTTTTTTCAATTTACTTATCTAGCTAATTAAAAGTTTAAAATAGCTTGCTGAGTGCTGATCTAGGAGATGCCAGCGAGAGAAGACCATTGGCCTCTTGTAGGCTACGGGTGAATTGTATTATCAGGGAAACCTGTGCAACGTTGTGTCATTCTGATATGGAATTATTGTTTTTTTTTAAGGGACCGGTACAAAACATAAAAATTGAACAGATATGCTATCATTTTAAGAAAGGCTGTTCATCAATACCCTGTGTGGTGTCCTTTCGGGTTTTACCCGTGTTTTAAAAAAAAGTTCCTTCGAAAACACTTTAAGGGAAGGGTTAAACCAGAATTCAGAGGACTTTCAAGCGCATAGTACTGTTAGCTGTCCCCGGCCTTGTTCGTCAGCTGGCGAGGGGTACCCTTTCTGCCAAGCCGGCGAGAAACCGAAAGCTAAGCGACCCCACCAGCAGACGACGAGTGAAACGGGTCTGAATCGACTTCTACAGTATTCCCCCTGACGGGGGCAGTGCCGGCTCGCCTTTTTATCCCCTCTGGATGGCGGTCATGGAGGCGGCGTGGAGTGCAATTGATTTTAAAAAAAGGGCGCACTGCTTCTTTTTCAGTACTGCTGTCGGAATCGGTTCGCTCATTTCCGCCGACGACCCCCGACTCCGCCATCAGCCCTTTAAGTGGATTTTCCCCAAAAAGAGACGAGCCAGCCAGGAGTCGAACCTAGAATCTTCTGATCCGTAGTCAGACGCGTTATCCATTGCGCCACTGGCCCGCACGCTGGTCTAGCTCTGCACGTCTCTCTAAGTGTCTCTCTAGCCTTCCTGCAGCGCCACACACGGGTTTTCATCTAGCACGACCTTCAAAATGTGGTGTTTGGAAGTCTTTTTATATCTCGGGTTTTTTTTTTCATGTTCTAATTGTGAAGTCGTGCGGCGTGGAAGCAGAAACAGCTGAAAGCGCGCCAAGGTGAGGCACAGGCTGCTGGCTCTCGGGTCTCGGGTGCATTGCGCTCGCTTGCAGGAAATAACTGCTGCAAACAGCAAAACAAAAAACATTTTTAAAGGTGTTGGCGCTAAAACGGTAGCGGAGGCCTTTACATTCAGCTGGGTAGAGGCTGGCCTCTCAGCCCTCTCTAATACCTCTTCCTCCTTTCAGAATCTGCATTTAAGAAATGTTAATGACACAGCCTACCGCGCATATGTGAAATGTTCAAACAGATCCAGAATAATGTAAGATGTGAAAGTACATTTTATTTTCTACGGTAACTGATTTTCATAATTCCTGCTTTATTACACAAAAAGGGCCTATAGGGTCTGAAGATCATTGCAGATTAACAGATGTGCCTAATATTATTGTAAAGGTATACTCTAGTTTTTATTTTCTATAAGACTTCGATCGTCTCCGATCGCTTTGTGACCAGGTCACCTTTCCCAAACCTAGTGCGTGTTCGCCCTCTAGCGACCAGCCCCCGACAGCGCAGCCAGGGACGAGCCTGTCCACAGCACGGCCGGACCGAATGAGGCGCTGTGCTGTCGTGCTGAGCTGGTCTGAACCTTTTCCCGAATTGTACCGACACAGAGCCCGTTTGAGATCATTCAGATGTGACTCCGTTCCCTAAAATATCCCTTAGAAGACTTATAAAGTGTAATAATTTAATTTTAAATGCTGTAACGTTGTGTCAAACTGCGTTTAGAGTGGATGGTGACTTACAGGCGTAACTCATACTATCACAGATGGCAGCTCCGACCCTTTCGGCTCCTTAGCCGGGACTCGGGCTGTTAGTATTTACTCGATAACGGACACATGCCTTGATGAAGGTTTAGGGTTCTCGGGGAAGTGTTTAAGAAACTAAGCACTAACGCCGCTCGTTATATTTAAATAATACAGCGCATCAATGAGAGAGTAAGCGCAGGTCCTAAGACGCAAGATCACTGTTGAGAGCTGAACAGTGACTAAGGAACTCTCTAGCTTGTCCCGATCTAGAAACAAGCCCGCCTGCCCTGGGGCACTTTCATGTATTGACCTACCGGGATGAAAGCTATGGAGCTTTCTGGGAAATGGCTACGTTTAGATTGGCCGGTTAGCTCAGTTGGTTAGAGCGTGGTGCTAATAACGCCAAGGTCGCGGGTTCGATCCCCGTACGGGCCAGGTTTTTTTTTTAAGCCAGCAGCCACATCACCCTGCAACTCACAACTGGCAACCCACTGGAGCTCAGCAGGTGTGAGCCTGGCCAGTACCTGGATGGGAGACCTCCTGTGAAAGCTGACCCTGCAGTCAGTGTGGGTCCTAATACCCCAGTATACTGACGGGGACACGGCTGTAAAAAAGGCGCCGTCCTTCATAAAACTGAGGTCCTTACTCGCTGTGGTCATTAAAAATCCCAGGGTGTTTCTGGAAAGAGTAGGGGTGTTACCGTCCTGGTCAAATTTCCCATTGGCCCTTACCAATCATGGCCTCCTAATATTCCCCATCTCTGAACGCTTCACCACTCTGCTCTCCTCCCCACTGAGAGCTTGTGTGGGGGGAGTGTGCTGTCACATCATCCAGGTGGGCCGGCACACTGGTGGAGGGGAGTCCCCATTGCCTGTAAAGTGCTTTGAGTGGAGTGTCCAGAAAAAGCGCTATATAAGTGTAAGGAATTATTCATTATTATTATTATCCTAACAAGCAGTGGATCAGTAGTAGAGACACTTTCCGCTTTCCCAAACCACAAATAGTTTTTCTCCAGGAATGAATAGGACAAGGTTTCCGTTTGAAAAAAATATATACATTATAACAGGATAAGAGGAATCATGTAGGACAGTTTTGGGGAAATTAAAATCCAGTAGCACATTTTTCCACGAACAATAATATGTTTATACAAGGACGTCTTGATCTAACATACTACATATATTTGAGCATTCAACTCTACATAGTGTATGATGTGCGTCCTAGGACACGAGACGTTCGAATTTGTCTAAAACCCAGGTTTAGCGTTTCAGACTAAAGGGACATTATGGAACCAGAAGAATATATTCAAAGCTAGGCCGCAAGAGGTCGCACTTGTAGCGTTAAAAACAAGGTTTTCTAATCCGACTCCTGCTACTGTACGTGTGTGATTCATTTTACCACTGGCGAGTGTCTGGGGTATCCGTGGACTTGTGGGTAACCTATTTAATGACAATATGATATAATATATATTTTGCAATAGAATCCTTTTAAAATAAAATCCCAAAGATTTCATTTTCCCCTGGCTGGCTTCGGGAGGGACGTGCACAGATTTGGATATAAACTGGTGCGGCCACATCTCGATGAAGTCTTACAGAATCCACCAGGCACGGGTTGGGAAGCAGGGTTATCCAAGCCAGCTCCGGGAGAGACCCACACCAGCTAATTTAGGGTGACCAACTGTACGACTCGAGCTGGACATAGACTCCCCAGGACCAAGACTGGGGACCCCCTGTTTCAGAGCGTGGGGTAGATCAAGTGTTTTCTCTCTCTCGGTCCTAGACACAACCAGAACACAATCAGAAAAGACAGAGGTCTCCGCCTCTTCTGACTGTGGTTCAAAATGAGATTTTATTCAATGAGACTAAATGATCTCCAGCTGAATACTGAGGTTTGTTTTTTTCTACGAAGAAGAGGTTGGATTAATGATTGATTAGTGTAAACACCGAACCAATCTTCTCGTTGTTGAGGTGGTTGAGACGCTCATAATAAGGAGTGTCTGCGCCATTCACACCCGGAACTGGACAACATTCGTCGGTCACCTATTCAAATTCCTAAAGACAGAAATACGGCGCCAGACATTTGATAAGTACTTTAGGTAACAGAATAAATGGAGCTTGAATGTCTGTTGAATTTCCGCGCTGTAGCATTTCAGCACCAGAACATTTTAGAATCTATAAAGAGTTAAAAGGGCCTGATCCAGCAAGAAGTTTAAATAAAGAGTTTAATTAGCTGGAGCAAAAGACAGAAGAGAGAGGAGTCCCCCGGGACCTAGGTGGAGGAACACTGCAGACTGCAGAGACAGCTGTCAATTGTAATCTGTTTCCGGATGCAGTAAATAAGTATTTCACTAACGTCTTCAATTGAATCATAACCTACCCCCAGCTAAGGTGAGGGAACCCCCTTACACGTGTGACTCGTCGCACTTAATTGTAGCTTGTCAAAGAGCTGGGGTGCGGGTCTGTCACCAGAGCCACCCTGACACGCCTGACTTCCCTCACCTACAGAAACGGTTCGGTGGAGATTTCAGGAAGAGCCTTCTGCCAAGCGGTTCAAACCTCCAATTACTGCAGAGACGAAATAAAACTGCGGATAGAGATAAAAGGCTCTGAGCCTGGCCGAGCAGAAAACAGACCCGGAATAAAAAAAAAAATACAGACGTGCGAATTAAAGTGTATGACGATTAAACCGAATACGCGTCAGTTTTTTAACTGCCATTGATTTTCCCATACTTTTTTATTGTTAATCGTCAGCATTAATACATAATACACCGCTGACTCTTTCTGCTCCATTCCTGTGCAATGGGTGATAATGTGCGCAGCAGATGTGCGAGATCATCCATTGACGCATTTAACCCACCTACAGCTCTCCTGTACCAATCAGTTATCAGATAACAGAAACGCTATAATATGTACAGTACAGTATCTGTACTGCTGCCTTGCATGTGAGTAGGACTTACTTTTAAAGCATTAATGCGTGACTGTAGTAGTACTGTTAACACTGCTACTAACAGTGTAATTTAAATAATACTAATGGGAAATTGTCACCGCCAGCTATCCCCCAGTGGAAGGTGGAAAGCTGTTTCACCTGAAACACAGACTGTGAGGTGCTATTATGTGACAGCAGGCAGGACAGCTACTGTACATCGCTTTAAAAGAGAGCGACAATAGTGAGGAGATACACCTCTGGAGCTGTAGTTGTTTAAAAGGTGTCTACAGAGTTTCAGTCCAGCTGGGCTCTTAAAGACCTCAAACGCTCATTATTGGCTTAGATTGGCCGCTGTACAGCTTCTCCAAGTCCTGGGGGAGCTGTGTGTGTTTCATGTACACTGCCTGACCAGGCTGTGGCACAGCGCTGATGTTCTGACTCTGGTGACTCTGGAAGGACTCCTGCCTGTCCAGGTCCACGTTGTGCACCCAATGGTGAGGACTGAGCAGCCAGGGGGCATGAGCCCAGCTGAGTGCCTGGTCTCTGCCAGAGACTCCCAGGAAACCTGTACCCAGAAAGGGCAGTGCTCCCACCGAGCGCTATTCCCATGGGTAAAGGAGATGTGAGCTTCCACGTGGAAAATGGCAAAAAGAAACAAAAGCACTCATACTTTTCTGTGTCCTGAGTAAAGACACTTATTTTCAAAACTAGAGAAGCTATTCATAAAAATTCGGACTCTGCATTTAAAGGTTTTATAAGATGCTTTATAATACATTAACTGTGAATAATGTAAACAGATGTGTTCCTTAAACAGATGTAAAGTTTTGTATCTTTTTATTTTGAAATAACACTCTTCAACATTGGTTGTGGTTATATGTGAGGAGATGCTCAGTTGGTGTTTAGGAGCCACAGGATGATTTGTGAATGAGTGTTGTGTAGGAGGGTTGATGTTAATTATTGGCTACATGTTGTATATTTGCATTGTATGTCTTTAATAGTATGGACCCACTGAATCAGTGATTGTGGTTGTAAGTGGTTGTTATGGTAATTAAATATTGACGTTGATTGAAGTCCATTCACAAAAGAAACACAACCAGCGTTCCTTGCTGTCTGTCATGCCAACTGATGATTACAAAATAAATAGTGTGCCGAAAACAACACTCTGTAGGTGAGCAAGTTTCCATATTGCAATAAAACATTTTTAACTTGAATTCGTGTTGAAACAATGTTTCAGTAAGTGTTTCGTCTTGTATCGATTTTTTACAAAAATGTAATTGAATACGAGTGTGTTTTATAGTGCAACTATGTTCGGTCCCACTCTCTGGTGCACTCTATGTGGTCTCTATGTGACTTCGCACAGTATAGCACATGTACAGTATATGACACGGGCATGGTTCATCTGTACTGAACTGTACATTTTGCATTTACGGATTTACCGGTTGATTGAAATGCACTTGCTTCGGTGCAATACGGGTGCAAGCCTGGCTGTGTATTTACTGCCCAGACGTGAGGAGCAGCAGCTCTTTCCCAGTTAACAACGCTGTAACGTGCAGTGCAGGAACGCCGCAGGGCAGGTCCAGTCTCATTGCGCTGTGCCGCTCCGAGAGACAAGGTGCTGGTGTTCTCGCAGACTTCAAGGAAGTGAGGTGATCTCGCGGGATCTGTCTTCTGCAATCCGGTGAAGGAGGCTCCTTGCCCTGCATCGGCATCTCCCGTGCAACCGCCTTGTCCGCAGTCTCCTGCCGGCAGCTCGCACGGAAGGCTCCTCCGCGCTTCCCGGAGACACCGGCAGGGATCGGCTCTCGTCGTCGTGATTCTGGTCCGAGCGCCCGACTGTCCATCTTGACAGCCTCTCTCTCCCCCCCCCCTTCTCCCCATCACCCTCTGTTTTCACCCTCGATACCTCTCCTCGCTGCCGCTGTCACCTGGCTTCCCGACCGGAGCCCGAAGATGATGCCCTGTACTCCGGTGCTAGCGGCCGTGGTGCTGGGGGTCTCTCTGCTGCGGCTGGGTTGCGCTCAGAACGGTAAGGATCGGGGTATCCGGGTCGGCAGGGGCATCTCTTCCGATACGGTACCAGGTGCATCTGCCCGGTGGGGCGAGTGAGGTCTTCTGTGTGGGGGGCACCGCTCTGACATTACAACAGGACAGACTCTGTTTTAAGCTGCAAACGCTTTATATAAATAGCATCGACTCGTGTAGTCGGGAGTGGGAGATTTTCTGTTTTCGTAATCCGGCTTTTAATTGCGTGTCCGGCGTGTGTCTGTGGTGCTGTGGCGTGACAGATGGGTCGCTGGTGCTACAGTACATACAGTATTTTATAACCGATATATTTCTGCGCCTGGACAGTTTCTCAATAATCCTCCCCCCCCCCCCTCTGGCGTTACTTTCCCTCCTCCGATCGGTATCTTGAATCGTTTAAGTGCAGAATTGTGTAAAAACTGAATCGTTAATTTGCGAACATTTTCATCTTTTAATGTGTCCTTTTCCCCAAGAGACATCGAAATGCTGCATTTAGGGCATTTTTCCGAGATTTCTGTGCTGTATCTCAGTTAGGAAGGCTAGGGTAGAGGTGGCCCTTCAGTGATCTGCCTGCCCTTAAACTACTGCAGGTCAGATAGGACGGGTACCTGTACAGTACGTGTTTGTTCTATCTGACCTACAGTACGCATCAGAAGCCTTTAGTTATCTTTAATTTGCATCTCATTGGTCCGATTGTATTGGAGCAAAGAGTATTTGATCCGTTTCTTGCCTACTCTCATGACATTTGTCTGTTTAGATTTTTGCAAAGACATTAATTAAATATTCCTGCCATGTTGTGACACAAAACAGGCAAACAGTGCATATTCTGTGCTTGTTTACGTACAGTAAGGAATTTTGATAAACACACGGTATACTTCTAGATTAAGCCTTTGTGGTGGAATACACACTATCCTAATTAATTGGGAGCGTTGAGTTCTGAATGGTGGTGTTTGTTTCTACTGTAAATACTGTCAACAACCATGTAATCTAGGCTGGACAGAGGCAGAGAAGGTCTTGATATATACAGTACAGTAAACATGAGGTGTGAGGTGAGGAGTAAGGTGTCTTGGTCAGGGTGCTGTGTGGTGAGGTGAGGTGTCTTG